GGTTGTTTAGCCTGGAGAAAAGGAGGCTGAGGGGAGACCTCATCGCTCTCCACAACTACCTGAAAGGAGGTCGTAGCGAGGTGGGTGTTGGTCTCTTCTCCCAAGTAACAAGCGATAGGATGAGAGGAAATGGCCTCAAGTTGCACCAGGGGAGGTTTAGATTGGATATTAGGAAACATTTCTTCACCGAAAGGGTTGTCAAGCATTGGAACAGGCTGCCCTTGGAAGTGGTTGAGTCACCATCCCTGGAGGTATTTAAGAAGACGTGTAGATGTGCTGCTTATGGACATGGTTTAGTGGTGGACTTGGCAGTGTTAGGTTTACTGTTGGACTTCATGATCTTAAGGGTCTTTTCCAACCTAAATGATTCTATGATTCTATGAAATCTGTAGTAAATAGTAAGGCTTGTATGGAGATGGAATATTAAAAATAATTTAATCTGGAACTATGGCCTTTTATGCAGTAAGTGTAAGAGGGCTCTGGAAAGAAGTTGCTTTTAGCTTCTCTGTCCTTGAATAGATGAAGAAAAAGGATTGAAGGAGAGACAGAAGAGATATCTAGAGTAGCTAGCACTGGATTCTTTAGCCAATGTGCAAGTACTGAGTTGAGCCCTATTTTGGGGGTGTGGGGGTGTGTGGAATTTAGGCACTGTTTAAAGTGCCTGTTAGGCTTGGTGTATGGGGACTGCCTCCTGGTGATCACAGCTTTCTCTCTTGCTGTGTTTTATTTCTGCTCCTTTGTCATACTAGCTATCAAATTTAAACACCTGTTACTTTAAAACAAATATATCGGAATACACAGGATTCCCTAATGCTGATGACATCAGTGATAGTTTTGCCAATCAGTGAAACAAACACATGCGGCTATATGTAAATTTGCTTCATCCCCTTAAAGATAGCAAGGTAATGTTCGGTTTTGGTGTTAGGAGAGTGGATCTAAGCTCCAATGTCAAATCTTGCTGACCGGGGAGCAGATACTTACTTAGAGACACCATGCTCCAATGGATTTCTAGTCTGAATACAGATGATGAGGTGGAGGAATAGATTGAAATTCAGCATGTTCTCCAAGCTACAGGTTGGGAAGTAGGGTGCTGAGAAACAAAGCAACTTGTTTGAGGTCAGACAAAAATGACATTGGAAAACTAGAATATGAAGTCATCCTTCTGATGTCTAGTTTGATTCTTTGACCAAAGAGAGATCTTTGGCATGAGGGATCCAGTCCACTTAAGACTTTGGGTTTTAACCCTTTGATTTTTAAAGCATTGTATTTTAACCCTAATTTTATCACACTAAAGGTGAATTATTGTCTTTTAACTTCAAACCTCTTTGATGTTAGCTGTTGATTCAGTATAACTAAAACTAGTCAGTCCGAGTTTCTCAAGCTGTTTCAGTGGCTTTATGCAGCTTATAGATTAATTCTAATGGTGCCATTCTTTTGTTTGGATCTCAGCCATGCTGGTAGTGTACTTTCTAGATGTCCTCTACAGTGGAAGGTCTCAGAGAGCATCGACCCTTAACACAATGAAAATTGACTCATAACTTTCGGCATTGTTCTGATATTCATAGCATGCAAGTCATGTTTACTGAAGCCATGCAATGAATTGGAAAGCGTAATGACTGCAAGTGGCTGGGTAGAATGAGAAATGAATAAACTAGTATCAGAAATTCTGATACCATCTTTTTTCTTCACTCCAAATGAAATTTGTTCTTCCAAGTTAAATTACGACTTTTTATCTTTACGTGTTTTCAACCTCTAGGAGATTGAAGAACTTGACAGGAAGCTGGAGTATGAGATGTTGCATAAGGAGTCAGCTCAGCAGCAGCAGCATCTAATGAGTAGGCAGAGGTGGACTCCGGATGGATTGGGACTTTCAAATGAAGCTGTGGAAACGAATGCAGACAGACAGGTGACAGTTCTGCTAAGACAGGCCATGAATAAATGTAGGCAATTTATAAATCTGCACCAGCAAAGGTAAGTGCTTTGGTCTCAGGTTTTACTAAGTTACTGCAATCCCTACAGACCGTAAGATATCACAGAGAAAAAGCAGGCTAAATGTTCTGCTGTGTTGGGGAGGGACTGTACATCTATGTTTGAACAGTGCATTTTTGTGATGTGGCCAAGAGCATAACTGAGGAGTCTTGGGAATATTGAAACAAGAAACATGAAATAATAATAATTTAGTTACATATAGATTGTGATGTGTTGCATGGAAATCACTATTTCTTGATGGGGGCAGTGGAAAAATAACAATACTTCTTAGCAGCAAGGAGGAAAAGAATTTTAATCCTGTTCCATTGTCTCCCAAGAAGATAGTTAGGGACTTCAATGAAACTTGATCTGCTGGGGTCAGAGGAAGTAGCTGAGACAATTTAAATTGAATTTCCATCTCCGCTGTTACACTGTAGACTGAATTCCCTGTCACGCAATCATTTTTGATGGGGTATATAAACTCTTTTTCAGAGACAGGCTCAATTTCACTTTTCCCTGGACAGTTTTTAAGTAAAGATATCAGTGACCAAAAAAAATAAAATGCCTCTTGGGAGGTATATAGAAATATCTGTCTTCCTAGCAAAAATGGGTAATAATTTGCAAAATTGCAAAATATTGTATTACATTCATTAGGGTTACAGGAGTTAGAAATTACATTTCCATGTGTATTGCACAGTATTAAAAGCCTACCACATTTCAAGGTTCATGTAAGATCCTGAGAGGGTGCTTTCCATTACAAAGAGGGTTTTCCGTGAAACAACTGATATATTAAAAATGGCTTTGATAGGCATTGAGTGGAGTTATTGCACTCTTAAGTCTGCTTTAATTCTGAAAGGGCTGGAGCTCTACTCAATGTAGATTAACAACTCTCCTGTTGCAGAAGAGTCACTAGAAGAGCAGATAGGTTACTGGCTTGTGGATACTACCATAGAGATACATCAGTGAAGCCTTCAAAGAAACTGCAACTAGGCTTTACTATTTACCTGAAAACATAATGGAAGAAAGAAGTTTTCTACTTTTCACAAATGACGTAAGGATGGCTTCATGATTTGGTCGAGAAACAAAAAAATCGCCAGTGGTGCGGAAGTTAACTGTTTACTATTATATTCCAGCAACAAAAAGATCCACAACTTGCCATAAAGTGTGGTGATGAAATTTAAAGAAGAGGATGGGGACAGGTTGAATCATGTTGCTTTGGAGCGATTCCAGATTTGAATTGTGTGCAAGAGCATAGCCTTTGATTCTGCTCTGATGTTTGCTTCGTGGTTCAGGGGAGAAAAGAGGAGAAGTTGGCTTATTTTAGAAGTTACACTGCTCACCCAACTTGGCTGACAGAAAGATACACTTCCTGAATGGATGACTTTCACATATTGTTACCTATAATACAGTCATTGCGCCTGGGAAGATTTCAATGTTAATTCTGTCTTTCACTTCAGCTTGAGAGATGAGCAATGGAATTGCGCAGTGCTTGAAGATCTCCTGGAAAATATAGAAATGGATGCATTTTTGGCACTTTATAGTCAGGTAAGCATGAAATTGAACAAAGCTTCCAAGTTTAAATTACAGCTGTATCTGGAAATCAGCTTTTCTTGCTTTTTTGGGAACCATTACAGATGTATTTGGACCCAGTTCTGCTAATAGTCACTACCAGTTCTGGTGTTTGCAGCCTGTATTATCATTCACTTCTATCATTCATTTAATTCTGACCTACTTTCAGCCTTTTGAATTTTACTGAGTTATACTTCTTTTTGTTCACTTATAAATCCTTTCCAGGGTTGTCCTGTTGCATTTCATTCTGTGGAGAGAACTAAATTGCCTGAGTTTCTGGTTTACAGACAGATTTACAGTCTGATTTTTCATGTAATGAGACAAGGGTTTTGTTTAGGCTTTAATCAGTGTTAGAAAGGGTTTGCATTGATCGTGTTAGAAAACTAAATGATAGAAGGACTGCTAGTTAAATTTTCTAGTATCATTACTCATATTGTTTTCAAAAAGAGCATCACCTCTTCAGGTAATTTGCTATCTGTTGGCTGCCTGTCAGTGCTACAAAAGGCATTAAAAATGAATTGCTGTTGTTGCCAAGTTTTATCTGCAGGCCTTAGTTGAGATATGTACCTAGCGTCAGAAAAGAGACTTGGTGTTGCAGCTTTTTGCATCCAAGTATCTTGCCTCTCAGGGACAAGTGTGGTCGCAGTCACCTGTATCATAAATTGGGAGCTTCAGAGGCCAACAGGCCAAGGAGGGACCACTTAGACTAAGGGTGTCTCAGCTTTTCCTGTGTCTTGGCTTGTTTCTGCTCAGTTTTCTGAACTCTTTATCCTCTCTTGAGTTAGATGTCTATTTGAGGTCAGCTGCTCTCATGAAGAATTGGAGTGAGACTCCTGTATATTTTATCTGTCTTAGGAGATTCACCTGGAAGGCAGCACATGTTTTCAGATCCTTACTCTGATTTGGGTAAGGAATTTGCATCAAGATCTGCTAAAGCTCACAGGAGCGTGTGTCGTGGTTTAACCCCAGTTGGCAACTAAGCACCACACAGCCGGTCACTCACCACCACCACCCCTGCCCCACCCCCGGTGGGATAGGGGAGAGAATGGGAAGAGCAAAAGTAAAAAAAACTTGTGGGTTGAGATAAAAACAGTCTAATACTTGAAATAATAGAATAATAATAATAAACTGTAATGGAAAGTAAAACAATGGGGGGAGGGGAACAGGGAAAGGAGAAAACCTGATGCAACTGCTCACCACCCGCCGACCGACTCCCAGTCAGTCCCTGAGCAGCAATCGCTGCCCCCCGGCCAACTCCCCCCAGCTTCTATACTGAGCATGATGTCACATGGTATGGAATATCCCTTTGGCCAGTTTGGGTCAGCTATCCTAGTCGTGCCCCCTCCCAGCTTCTTGTGCACCTCCTCGCTGGCAGAGTATGGGAAGCTGAAAAGTCCTTGACTTAGTATAAACACTGCTTAGCAACAACTAAAACATCAGTGTGTTATCACATTATTCTCATGCTAAATCCAAAACACAGCACTGTACCAGCTACTAGGAAGAAAATTAACTCTGTCCCAGCCCAAACCAGGACAGGGTGATAATCACTTCAGTCTCTGCCTCTTGTGTGGACGCTTGGGCTCCATTCAGAGTGGAGTCCTTCCATGAGCCTCGCTGGAAGAGACTTACCTCTGAATATCTAGCAGCCTGATGGCTAAGGTGCTGTCCTGGAATGGAGGATCTCACTTTGTGCTAATGAATTAAATCAGGCAGAGTGGGAATTCAAACCTCATCTTAACACTTTCCAAGAGCATCCTATCCTCTGGGCATAATAATATAAACACCAAAAACCCATTCTGATGTGTCTTGCAGAGTGTAAAATTTGAAGGTGTTTGCTGAGGAGGTCATGACCAGCATTACCAGCCTGCCGGTTTTATATTCAAGCTATGTGTTCCCTTAGATTTTGGGGGGTTTTTTTAGTAGTATTATTATTTAACTCTGATTTCCCCCCCACCTCCTGTTGCAACTGTCTTTTTTCAAACCGGCTTGCTACCCTGTTGGCCTTAACATTTTGGATATTGTAAGCGGATGTGGCTATCAGGAGCTGCTGAATTCTGTTCCAGTCTTCAGTTCCTTCTCACTGTTTTCTGCCCCTGTCGCATACTGCACATAGAGCTCCTAAAGTTTTATTGGGACTTCACAGAAATAGCATCCTGCTGACACTGATAAAAATTTCTGCTGCGGGCCTTCGTAGGGTGCTTATGATGTAAATATTCACATGATGGTGAGTTTTAATCTGATTATTTCTTTATAACTTTAAACTTTATATGTATTCATTTATGATCCTTTAAAATAACTTGTGTAATGCTGGCGAGGCAGTCACCTGCTATTTTCAGTTATTCATTCAGTCATAAATTTGAGGCTTTATTTGTCCATTTGTAGATGCAGTTTGTCTAATAGCTCAAGATTTCAGAACACTTTTCTAGGAGAAAAGATGATCTTTCATCCTGTTCAATATTCCTTTTTTTTTTTTCTTTTGTAAAACAGGTGAGGAGTTAACAGGCTTGCATGAATATTTTGTTGACACATACAGTGCTTCAGATACATGTTGAATATGATAAATATAAGATAAGTCTTAGATAAAATAAACTCCATTCAACTTCAGTGGAAAATAAACATCAGAACAGATAGAAAAATTGAACATGCTTTGGAAGGTCCTTGGGGCTTTGCTGATCTTTCCCTGTACTACTGTGGTTTAAGTCATTGGTCTTGGTGTGCTGTAGTCTTGTGAATTCTTTTTGTACTGTTTTGTTTTGTTTTTTTCCCTAGTTCATTATATATTTATCTGACAAAATATGCTGCATCCAGAAATGCTGGCTATTATAAAGGCTTTAAACAGCACAGACCAACTCCTCCAGATTAGCACTGCTGAGACCATTATCATAGTTTAATTTCAATGCTTTTAAATCTGCTATTGCCTTGCAATCTTGTCCTAATTGAAGAGACCTTGTACAGTGCTTATTTAGCAATTTCATAGGCTGGCAAAAATAGTCACTATTAAGTGGGAACTCTTAAAGAGAGCATGAAGACTACATTAATCTTATACTATGGTTCTTAGTTTGCCATACTCCTGGGCATAGAAGGGTAGGAAGAAGATGCACGTAACAAGCCAGCTGCTCAGCAGAAGAGTTCTTATCTTGCAAAGGATGTTGTGAAATGTTTTTCTGCTGCTCTTGAGTTTGGTTGTCTCTGATGGAGCCTCAGCATCTACCTCCCTCATGAAGGCATGAATTCAGGAAGTGTGGCATGTTAAGATGAATGCTGAAGCAGCTGTGTAGGACTTGGTGGGAGGGAAGAGAAACAAACCTGGTGGCTTGAGTGCTACTGCTGCTGGCTGTGAGTCATTCATTTCGAGGGGAACCCTATTGCAAGAGAGCTTGGCTCTTTTCTTAGCATTTCAGTTCAAAGACAGTGCTCTTTTTCTTTTGGAAGTGTTAATCATATTTATGATTGGACTGCCCAGGACTAACCAGGAATATGCTGGGTTTGCACATTATTGTGGCTCGTTTCAGTCCTAGAAAGTTTTATAATTAAATACTGACACTTCTTGTTCTATATTCCCCAAGATCATACCACTTGGCTGGGGGGGAAGCTGGATATTGCTTTTCTGTAGCATAGGTAAGCCATATTGCTTAAGTTGCTCACAATTTAACTGTCTTCCTGTGATGGTTAAGTTTCTTTGGCACAGATACATTGTGAAAGAGCTTCTGAACAGCATGGTATGTATTCTGCAAGTTGAGAGGTTAAAATCATTGTTTTGCAGATTACAGATGCATGCAAACAGAATATGTCATAATTTTCACAGTACCCAGTCCTCTTAGCACCCTAGCAGGTGAACAAGGACCCTTGATAATTACAGATTTTGGCATCTTGAAGACAGATACTAAAGAGCATCACTGTCATCTCGCTGCACTTGAGAAACTGGATGCACTGTTCAGTGTATACTTGGGGGACTGTGCTTTGTGTTTTGTTCATAAGATTCCCTGAAGAAATAATTTGTGTAAATATGCATTAGATATACCATTGGGGTTTTTGTGTTTATATTTATTCATATAAAGTGTAGCCCAGAGATATTCTGGGACATACTTTATTGAAATTCCATAAAACCTATACATATTTACCCTGCAGATACACAAAACAAAATTACTGTTCTCAGCAAATATAATAGTAAAATAACTCCAACTATAATTCCAAACCTAACTACTCTTAATTCAACTCTAAAGAAGTATCTGCTTAGTAGAAGAGTAATTTATTAATTTATTAAGGCTCACAGTGTAACATGTTCCTACTTTTGGATGTGCTTATCCTGTGAGCTGATACGGGAATTGATTTTTAAATCTTCTGCCCTCCCCCCCCTCTGCCCCGTTTTCTTACAATTTATAGAACACATTACATTGGCAAGTATTAGGAAACTATAGCTATTGTACCTCTATATCTTACACTCATTCTTTTCTTTAAAGAGGATTTTCCCCTTTAGACTAGTTTTCAGAACTGTGGATGCAGCCCTCTCTGGAAAACCAGATAAGTTTTACTTTCCTACATTTCGTGTTTCAGCTTACATCCTTATCGAGGCACATGTAGGTCAATAAGAGATTTGCTTGAATGATAGTGAGTTCAGGATCATAAGCCTCTGGCTGAGAAGTTACTTTCAAATAAGCTCATAGCTATAGCCCCAGGTACACTAGTTGCATTTTAGAGATGACAGATGATACAGGCAGACTGTCGTGTGGAAACAGCACAGTAAGCTTGAAACACAGCATGGATCAAGTTCATTGATTCTTGCATTAGTTGTTTAAGTACACATTGCTCGGTCCAAATACTTAAAAGTAATTCTGCTATTTGTAAACTACAATTCATTCCTGGTTTTATTTTGACCAAATTCAGAGAATACAAATGAGGTTATTGGTGGCGCAAGTAGTATTTGTATCCATTAGATGTTATGAAAAAAGTGAATTCCTAATCTTTGTGGTACCTTACCATATAATATACCTGGAGAATCAAACTCATCCCACCCTGGAGGGCTTTTGGTCTGACTAGTGTGACCATTCCTGTGTTTGCATGCACATTCATTTCTCCTTCCCGCTTCTGCAAGCTGGTCTGGGTAGCTGTGAGCATCTGAAAGTGCTGCTCACTGCGGGTGTGTGTTCACACATCAGCACTCCGTTTGCCGTACATATGCTAGATGCACCTGGCCGGTGGGTACCTGTGCCACTTTTGGTACTGTTGACAGCGTTGTGGCACCTTCTGCTGTGTTAGAAAAGCATTAAGAGTTGCCTCTCAGTCCAAATCATTCTTGATGCAGAAAGGTAAGGGTCAGAGTGGAGAAAATAACGTTTTAAAGAGGAAACTATTACAAAGGAAAGCAGTACTGATGTCATGATGTTTCGATCATCCGCGTATAAATTACTAAGTTAAAAGTCCTGAGACCATTTAGCCAAAAAGGTCACAGAGATGTGTCATTTTTATTCTCACTTAATGTTGTTTTTTGTAAGTTTCTAGAAGAATAGTTTTTATAGACCAAAAGTACAACACAGTCTGTATGCAACTATAGAAATTAAACTTAGATGTCTGTATTAAGATTTAAGCTCTTATTTACGTTCCTCCCCAGGGAAGAATCAAACCATTTCTCGCCCTAAGTAGCCTGAACAGACATCTCTTTTACCTAACTTTGGTGCCTGTTTAGGGTGAAAATATTGGACGTTTTAGATACCCCATCAACTTACTAATCTCTCATCAATCTTAGGATTTTGTCTTGTTCATTCTAGTATCTCAGTGGTTTCCATGGAAAACCTGTAACAACACTGAAGAGCGCAGGAAACTTTGGGAAGTGGCTACTTTTCCTGCCTTTTGGAGAGGAGTTCTCTGCTTGGAGAACAGTTATGGGAAAAGGAGGTTGATTGATTTCTTTATTTTGTGTGGCTGTCTAAATTTAGGTTAGGGCTGCTTTGGGGGTGATTGCTTTGTTTGTTTTTACATGGATTTAGCAGAAAAAATCGTCCTTTACAGAGCATCTTTTTGGTGAAATAGCTTCTTTCAAAGAAGAAAATGCACGTAATACAGGGATCTCCTAGGTGCATTCGCTCCTCTGAATATTCGTCATGCAAAAAAGAGGCAGAGTTCAAACATCTGCTGTGACATTTTGAATCCACTGTGGACAAAGAAATTGGCTGTCTTCCTGCATGGTGGGACCTTGTGGGGTTTTTATGTGACATGGGCTTTGTAGTCATCTCCCCCATCAATGCTTATAGGAGGGTCTACAGAGTGGAGGTGACTCAGCTGCCATGAGTCATCTCTGAACGTTTGACATGTTTTACCTAACTTTGGCTACCTGAGATACATGTATGGTTTGAATAGACTACAACAGCATTTTTCTGGCATCCTTTGAGGCATTTCACTTGCTTTAATTTGCTCTACTCTTTTCTTTCCATGTAGTTCTCAATGTATTGTAGACTTCTCATATTTGATACGCATGAGAAATCTGCAGAAACAGCTCTGGGGACACAGTGGTTTTGACAGCAGAGCTGAAAACAGCAACAGAGTTTTGCTGTTTGAAGGGGGGCAGGAAATGGGGCTGGTTGATTGTCTAGGGAACAACTAAATTTGAACTTAGGCTATTTGAGTGAGTGTCTGAAACGCTGAAATAACTGTTAATTCACATCAATTCACATTACTTGGAGAAAACATCATGAATACTGGTATAGTGATAATTTGTATTAATGCTATGAAAAACATAACTTTTGTGATACTGTGATGCTGTGAAATGACACAAATTCAGAAATGTGTGGGGTGGACGCCGGGAACTGTTTTGTTTACTGCAACTTGAGTGTCATGAAATGGCCTGCCACTGATATGTATGCAGCACGTTTAAGTCAGTATCACTTAGGTATGGTTTTCTTACTAGCACAGAGTTGGTGCAGCAGAGTGCCAGGCTTGCTGGGCTTCAGCCTGTGTACGGCAGAGGCAGCGAGAGCGAGCATGCTCTGTGAGTATGCTTTACCACTGACCTTTGGGCCAAAAAAGAGAGGACGTGGAAAAAAAAAACCAACACCAAAACAAAACCAGATGTCTCCTTCACCTCTTAACAAATGTTACAAGCTGTTCTCTGAGCTTATCACAGAATCTGGTGTTAAGAGAGGCTGAACAATGAAATGCTCAACCATGGCAACATGTAAATGTTATCCTTAGGTATCAGAGGCTATTCCCCCCCCCCTAATTTTACAGACCAAGGAATGTCGTATCGCTTCATCGCTATCTTGAACGGATTTCTTTATAATAGTACAATCCATAAATTAACTAAACCTTACATGCTAGAATATCATTGCATTGTGATTTTTTTCAGACCGAAGGGCATCGAGTATATGCCCTAAGCACATACGCTAAGATCAACTGGTTGGTTAACATTTACATTGCTTATATCCAGAATGAAATGGACAACCGTAATATAGATGGGCCAGTGTGGGTAGAAACAGTGAACATGGGACTATGACCACTTGACACCAAAACTGTCACCGCTAACATGATTTTGAATAATATTTTTTGTTTCTATAATGAATAATTCTTTAATGATAGTAATTAAAATTCTCTAACACTTTTTTTATTTTCAATGCTAAATTTATGTCATCTACTCATTAATCCTCTAGGAGCTCCGACTGGCAGGTTATTTAGCTAAACTGACGAGGGTACCAATGGGGATGTTGCACAGGATCCTGAACTTGTTGCTGCCCTCCAGCTCACAAAGTGAGGTTCTTTCTGTCCTTGATTCCATCAGTAAATATTCAGATGGTGTTGCTGAAAGTGACAGTAATGCAGATGAGTCTGGCAGCTGTAAGAAAAGGTAAGTGTGGTATTTTTTTGGTAGACCGTTGAAGATTATTGCTTTACACGTATACGTATTTGCTGGACAAGCAGTTTGACAGCAATAGAAAAAATCACAGGTGCATAGGTTTTCTTTTGAAATATTTTTGTGGGGTAAAAATACTTTGAAACTGCGACCTTATTTTGTGAAATATTTTAACTATAAAAAATTGATAGTTAATAAATTTTATAACTTCATGAATTAAATGGTTATTTTATAGATTTATAAGTCTTGTTCTGATCATTTTCTTTCTGTTGACTTTAGTTGGAGTTTATTAAAATACTTGCCTTCCAGCTTTTTGTATTTATAATATTCAGAGCACAACAGATTTCAGGTGTCTATAGTTCCTAAGGATATAAAGGAGGTCCTCCTTTCTAATAATGAAAGTTTCAACCTTGCAGATACCTGTCCCTTTGTAGTTCATTACTAAAGTCCCAAGTGGCCACTGTTTTTTTCCCTTTACTCACAGAGACGGGTAGTCTCCCAGAGCCTTCATCCCTCCAGTTTATCCCCATTAACACCAGCTGAATAGCTGTGCAGCTAACACAGAGAGGTGCTCCCGGACCCTCTCTCCCAACTCCCTGCCACGACAAGGCAAGGGGAGAAAAGCAGATCTTGTGGCACAGAGCCCTCTAGTTTGTCAGGTGTGAGCTGTCAAGGAACAGATAAGGGTCCTTGGGACCATGCCCTGAGGTGTGATCTTAGCTGATTTAAATTATTTGTGGCAGGGCAGCAAAAATCCTTGAACGCTCTTACTGGCTGTATTCATGGTATTACTGTCATGGGATTGGTAGCTAAAATCAGAAAGGGGAGGAAAGTATGTATATTTGGGGATTTGCTGCTGGGAATTTTTTTCTTTCCTGCTCCTTCAGGAAGAACCAGGAGTTGTGGCAAGCACTGGAGAACAAAGTAAGGCAAGATCTGATAAACAGAAGTTTAGAAAAGCTCCCTTCTCTAAACAAGAGAGAAGACAGGTAAGGAGAAAGCAGGAAGAAGCATATATGATTTTTTTTTTATACTTCGTTTCATCTCCAAAGGTTCCTCTTACATCTGTTAGACATCAGAAAATAAGTTCATAAATACGCATTTTCTGACACTGTTCTGCTGTTTGGTGCTTGTGTTTCCTACAATATCTTTACACATAATAAGCAATAATAGTAGATGTCTAAAAAGATTTTTCTGTACAAATCCACAAAATTCACACATTTTTCATATACCTTGCCCATCTTCCCTATGGCTGTTTATTATAAGGTCACCTTTCCTTATGCAGTTTTGTATCTCATAAAATGATATGCAAGTTATTGGGGATTGGAATGGAAATTACAATTCTGTCTGTTTGAAATACGATTTTCTTTAGCTTCCAAAGTCACCACTTCTATGTCAGGATTTGATACAGGAATTTTATGCTTTTTTTGCCCAAGTTTTCATTTTTCAATTCAATTTTTTTCATTAATGTAGCTTGATAAAGAAGAAGCAACTTGCCCTCTTGGAAAAAGCATCACTCATTCATCTTGGATATTCGGCTACACATCCTCCTATGGAACAGTCTGATCCACCTGGTCCTTTGAACACTGCAACTGCCGAAGCCATAGAGCTATTAGATACAGGGGAGAAGGTATTTTTGTTCCGCGAGCCGAGTGATCCAATACTTTCTTTGCATAATTCTCCAAGGAAAAAGAAAAAGAACTTTCTTAATTCCAAAAAGGCTGCTCGTGCAAATATGGACTCATGAGGGTGACTTCCATTCAAAATATCAATTAGGGAAGAGGAAGTTATTTAAAATTCAGTAAAATAATGAGAAAGGATGAAATGTGCAGTTTAAATAACACGTGCGTGTTACTATTCTCTGACATTGTAAATACCTGTAATTTTAGAATGGCACAGTTAGCAATGTGCATTGTGCATTTTTTAATTCTTGTCAGCGTATGATGCAGTAGATGAAATATGGGTGTTTTATGATGCACGTCCTGGCAGGCAGGACTCAGTGTTCCTTCAGTACATTTTGATCATTTTTGCACTGATTTTACTGTAGCTGTATTTTCATAATTTATATAGAAAGGTTATTTATTATATAAAGTAAGTACTGATTTACTGTTCTTGTATTTATATATTATTGTAATAAGCTGCGGTATAGCAGATGACATGAAGAGATGACGTGGATGACCCACAAGTCCTCTGTTCTCTGATTTTCTATTATTCTAGCTAATTTACTGTTTAATGTTGTGTTCTTAATAGGCTTTGAATGTTACTTCTGCAGTCTGTGTTCTACAGTGATAGTTGGTAGTCCAAATCTTCAGCGTGTACATACGTACTTAGCTTACATCCTGGAGTAACTTCAGCTTTTCACTATGGTTTCTAAACTTACTTCAGTTGAACTATGAATGTGGCTACGGTTCAAAACTGTGTTAAGTATTTGCAACCTGTTGCAGTCTTTTTCTTGGTGAACCAATATCATCACACTTGCTCAGTAGAAAAGGGAAAAATGTAAATGGGTGTTTAATACCTTCAAAAGCTTTTTTGATTGCAGTGCTGCCAACTGTCACAATTTTAGGTGGGTGTTTTTGAAGTTCTTATTCCTGGATTTCTCTAAATCGATGAGAATATCATTTTATATTTCAAAAAGAGTTAATTTTTAAGCCTTTCTAGTTGACAGAAAGAAGCCTGTAAATATGAACCCTAAAAACAGGAACAGGAAAAGGCTAATTAAAAGAAACACATATATTTGTTAATATTTCATGATATTCAAGCCTGTTTTGAGGGGTTTTTTTGAACTGCATTTGAATGCTA